GGGGGGGATTTATTGAAAAAAAGTTGGACATGTTTTTCTTTTCCCCTGAATGGTTCTTTAAATACCCCAATTCTACTGTTTTGCATATTTCTTTAATATCTTCTGATCATAGCATGTTACTATTAGAGACAGAGAATAAAGAAGCAGAAGGTAAGAAAAGATTTATGTTTGGTGGAAGGTGGACTAAAATGGAAGGGTATGATGAATGTGTGAAGAAGGAGTGGGATAAAGCTGTGAGGGGACCTGCACTGTATTGTTTCCAACAAAGATTGAGGAGGGTGAAATCAAGCTTGGTGTAGTGGTCAAAAAATCAAAAATCAAATTCACCTGTTAGGATTCAAGAATATTATACAAAATTGGAATCTTTGGGGGTGTAAGGGGTTAGAAGGATTGGGATGAATGGTTGAGATGTAAAAAAGAGCTGCATCAGGCATATGGGGATGAGGAAAGCTACTGGAGATAGAAAGCTAGAACTAGATGATTGAAGGAAGGGGACAAAAATACCAGATTTTTCCAAGCTTGTGTTAAACAAAGAGGACTTACAAACAGTTTGGAGAATTTGGTAAAATCTAATGGAAAAAAATGCAGCAACATAGAAGAAGCTATTGAAGAGGTGGCTCAATTTTTTGAAAATCTGTTCACAACAGAAGCTGGGGAGAAAAATGTGGAAATCCTAAGGGGCATACCTCAGACAATAACACATGAAACAAACCAGAAACTCTGCAAACCGGTGAATGAATGTAAGATCAAACAAGCATTATTTGACATGGATCCTGATAAAGCACCAGGTTCGGATGGTTTATCACCTTCTTTTTTTCAAACTTCTTGGCCTCTTATTAAAAATGATTTGTGCCTTACAGTGTCTAACTATTTTGCTTCTGGTAGGATTCCTAAGGATACCAAGCATAATGTTATTTAATTCATACCCAAAATAAACAATCCAAAAAAGGTAGTAGATTTAGACATTTTAGTTTGTGTTCTGTTACCTATAGGATTATTGCTAAAGTGTTAGCCAATAGGATTAAGCATGTTCTGACATTTTGTATATCCCATTTCCAATCAGCTTTTGTTCCAGGCAGACAAATCCTTGATAATGTCATAATAGCCAATGAGTGCATCCATTTTTTGAATAGTAAGAAAAAAAATAAAAAATGCTACATATTTTTAAAATTAGATATGGCAAAAGCCTATGATAGGGTTGAGTGGGGATTTTTGTTAAATGTTTGTAGGGCAATGGGATTTTGTGAGCAACATTGTTTCGGGTTATGGTCTTGTATCAGTAGTAACTCTTTTTTCTTCAAATTCAATGGCCAGCTGATAGGGAATGTAAAGGCATCTAGAGGATTAAGACAAGGGGATCCATCCCCTTATCTGTTTATAATCCTTTCAGAAGCTTTATCAAACCTTATAAAGCAGACCTGCATTAATCATAATTTCCAAGAAATAAAAATTAGCAAGCATTCCCCTGTTGTATTCCACTTATTTTTTCTGATATTCCCTAATTATGTGTCAGGCAGATCTTAATCATGCCAATATGTTTCTCAATATTTTAAAATCTTAGTGTACAGCCTCTGGCCAAGCTATTAATATGTCTAAATCCAGTATCTTTTTTTTCCCCAAATTCTTCTTCAGAATTAAAATCCTCTATTTTTAATATTTTTCTGGGATTGGAACTGTGAAATTTTATAAATATTTGGGTCTCCCTTTAGGTATTGGAAAATCAAAAAAAGAGATTTTCAGTTTTGTTAAGTAATGTGTTGTTTCTAAAATTTCTAGCTGGAAAAATAGGTTTTTGAGTGAGACAGGGAGAGATGTGCTGATAAAATCAGTTCTTAATGCTCTTCATGTGTATGTTATGTCTGTATTTAAAATTCCTGTGGGGGTGTGTGTAGATTTGTAGGGTTATATCTAGTTTTTTGTGGTGGCAAAGTGATCAGGGTAAGGATAGAAATGGGCTAATTGGGATAAACTTGCTAGGATGAAGAGTGAGGGTGGCATGGGATTCAAACAGTTTGGGGACTTAAATGATGCTTTAATACTAAAACAGTTGTGGAGTGTTTTGACCTGTCCTAATTAGTTGATGAGTAAGGTGATTAGAGGCAAATATTTTTACAATCAATATTTAATGAATGTGGAGAAAAAGAGTTCAATGGTTGTGGAAGTGTTGGTTAGAAGTTAGGAAGTATTTGAAAATTGGGCTTAGGTATCATATTGGAAATGGGCTTGCTGTAAGGATTTTTGGATCAACCTTGGATTCCAAATTCTCCAGGCTTTATTCCAGTCTGTCACTTTGATGTTGATAAAACAAAGTTGCACAGTCTATGATCTTTTGGTGGTAGGAAGAAAAAGCTGGGATAAGGAGCTTTTGAGACAAACCTTCTCTCCCCTGGATGAGGAGAATATTCTTAAAATTCATATTAGCCAATGGAGAGTGAAGGATAAACTAATATGGGATGCTGATAAGAAAGGGAAATTCACAGTAAAAGGAGCCTACAACTAAATTCTAAACATCAACAACAAATTGCAAGCTACGGATAAACCTGGTGGAAGCACAGAGCCATATCAAAAAATGTGGAGAAGAACATGGGATTTACCAGTCAAGTAGAAAATTAACACATTTATCTGGAGATGCTGGCATGATTTTTACGGGAACAAAAACAAACTTGGTGCATAGAGGAGTAGTACTTGATGAAATTTGTGGTTTGTGTGGGGAAGAGAAGGAAGATATGGAGCATCTATTTTTTAAATGTAAAAGAGTAGTCCGAGTTTGAAGAATTGCAAACTTACAGTGGGAGAAAATGAACCTACCATCATTATGTTTCCAGGAATGTGAAATGACCTCTGTTTAATTCATAAGGAGCAGAATTATAAGGACAGAGTGAGTCTATCCACCTATATATTATGGTGGCTATGGCGAACGCGAAATAATTGGGTTCTTAAAGGTGAGCTTCTGGAGGAATATCAGACAATTCAAAAAGCAAAACTAGAACGGCTTGAATTTGAAGAAGTACAACAGATGAACAAGGCAACTGGTAAAAAGGAGGTCACTTCAAATGGGAGCACATGAGTAGGACCTAAAAATACTGATGTCAGTGCTATCTGCTCGCATGCTGAAGACATACTTCTATAGGTAAGGCTTATAAAAATGGTGTAGAGACTGATATATGGAAGTTTTCAAAAATGCAGAATGAGATCACAAAGGAAATATTGTTGCTTTTGGTGAGAGAATGGTTGGGGAAAGGTGCTGCTTCTGGATGGGAAAAAATAGTGTTGAGCTTCAATAATAAAAGCCTAAGCAAGAGGCTGTCCAACCCTGCATGCTTCATGTTGAAAGATAAATGAAGAATGGTGGGAGACAAAGGCAACATGTAGGGCCATTACTCCTCAGATGATTTGGCGAGTTTAGATACACGCGCCATATAGGAATTTTGGTTGTGCACTTCACTTTCCATTCTATTATTGCTTTTCATTTTTTCTTCTTTATTTTTAAAGAGGTTTAGAGGAGGTTTTAATTTATAAACCTGGTTCAAGATTGTAAACCTCAAACATTCACTCTTTAATAGATAAACCTCTGAATGTGGGGTTTTGTAAACCTTTTACAAACCTACCACTAAAGATGCTCTTAGTCCTGTTGTTTTAACGTTGTAGCATTTTTAGTCTCAAGATTTCAATTTTTTGTCTTTTGATCCTGTAATTAAGTATTTTACTGCAATTCCAGTCCTTCGGAACTGAAATTGCAATAAAATTTAAAATTACAGGATTTAAATTGTTAATAAAAAATATTTTGGATTTAAAAGATTATCCAGAAGATTTTTTATTAGCAATTTAAGTTCTGTAGTTCTAAATTTTGGTGCATTTTCAGTCTCAAAGGACTGAAATTGCATTGAATTTTAAAATTATAGGACCAAACAACAAAAATGTCTAATTCGTAAGACTAAAAATGTCACCGTATCAAGCCAACAGGACTAAAATTGC